GAGCAAAGGAGATTCTGGACATGGTAGGGTGGGTTCTGGCACATGGGAAGAAGTGGATTCCTGGACATGATAGCAGGTGGGGTCCTGGCACAGGGCAGAGGTGGGTTCTGGGGACAGGGAGCCAGTAGATCTGGGACATGATTAGCGGTGTGGGTCCTGGCACATGGCAGAGGTGGGTTCAGGGACAGGGAGCGGGTAGATTCTGGACATGATAGCGGTGGGTTCTGGCACATGGCAGGAGGTGGGTTCAGGACAGGGAGCAGGTAGATTCTGGGACATGATAGCGGTGGGTTCTGGCACATGGGCAGAGGTGGGACTCTTGGGACAGGGAGCAGGTAGATTCTGGGACATGATAGCGGTGGGTTCTGGCACAGGGCAGAGGTGCTCTGGACAGGGAGCGGTAGATTTCTGGGACATGATAGCGGTGGGTTCTGGCACAGGGCAGAGGCGGGCTCTGGGACAGGGAGCAGGTAGATTCTGGGACATGATAGCGGTGGGTTCTGGCACAGGGCAGAGGGGGCTCTGGGACAGGGAGCAGGTAGATTCTGGGACATGATAGCGGTGGGTTCTGGCACAGGCAGGAGGGGGCTCTGGGACAGGGAGCAGGTAGATTCTGGGACATGTAAGCGTGGGTTCTGGACATGGCAGAGGCGGGCTCTGGACAGGGAGCAGGTAGATTCTGGGACATGTTAGCGGTGGGTTCTGGCACAGGGCAGAGGCGGGCTCGTGGGACAGGGAGCAGGAGATTCTGGACATGATAATCGGTGGGTTCTGGCACAGGGCAGAGGTGGGCTCTGGGACAGGGAGCAGGTAGATTCTGGGACGTATGATAGCGGTGGGTTCTGGCACAGGGCAGAGGCGGGCTCTGGGACAGGGAGCAGGTAGATTCTGGGACATGATAGCGGTGGGTTCTGGCACAGGGCAGAGGCGGGCTCTGGGACAGGGAGCAGGTAGATTCTCAGACGGGGGTGGGGTGGATTCTAGGCCTTCACAGTAGAGGCGGATTCTGAGGTCAAGGACCAGGCGGAGAAGAACTCACACGAGGAGGTGGCCGGGGCAGGGACAGAGACTGCGGGCAGGCCCCCCGCTCCCGCAACCCACCCACGCACGGCGCCCCTGTGCCCCAACACAGCCCGCTGGCCTCCCCCAGGCCCGCGCGCCAGCGCCGCCTCCTCTGAGCGGCCTCCCCGGCACGCAGCCACCCTGCCTGTGCTCTCCCTCCCTCCCCTCCGCCCGGGCGGCGGCAGAGGCGGACCCGCGAGGGCTGGGGCACGCTCGGCCCCGAGGGAGGGCAGGCCTGTCCGGGCGCGCAGGCTGAGCAGAGCGGCGGCATGCTCGCACTCGGGGAAGGAGACCGCCTGGGACTCGGGGACCTGTCGGGTCTGCGGTCCCGCCCCGTGCCCGAGGGCCGCAGACGGGCACGGTGGGTCCCCGAGCGCGGGGCGCGGGGCGCGGGCAGAGGACGCGAGGGGACAGAGACGGGGAAGCGCGGAGGGGGGGACGCGGAGGCCACGCGCGGAGGCCGGCAGAGGCTGGGGACGGCGCACCGCGCGGCCTGGCGCCTCGTCCGGGCGCGGGCGCGTCTCCGCCGGGCGGGCGCAGGTGCGGGCGCTGGGGGTCCCGCCCCGCCCGCCCCGCGCCGCCCCGCCCCGCGCGCGCGCGGGCATTGTGGGATTGTGTCCGCGGCCGCGGGCGCACTCGCGTCGGCACCGGCGCGCTCCGCGCGCGGCTTGGGTCGGCTGGCGGCGTGGCCGGCGCGAGCTGCGCGCGGGGCGGGGGCGTCCGCGCCTCGGCGGCGGCGACGCATCGGTCCGGCAGCCGCCCCCGCCGCCCGCGCGCCCGGCGCAGGTAAGCGGCGTCCCCGGGGGCTGCGGGCGGGAGCGGAGCGGCGGGCCGACCCCGGGAGCGGGCGAGGCGGAGCCGGTGGCTGCTGGCCGCGGTCTCCCGCCCGCGCGCGCCTCGCCGGGGATGCTCCGCGAGCCGGTGCCCGCCTGCGCCGCATCCCGGCCCTGCCGAGGCCCGCGCGGAGCGCCGCTGCGTGCGAGCGCTGCCCCCTCGGCCGCGCTGGCCGAAATTAGTTATAAAATGTTGGTCTTAAAGGAAAAGAAAATCAGAGGGTTTGAGAGACAGAGGGAGCAGGAGGTCCTAGTTTAACTCATTTGCTTTTTCGTATTCAATCCAGTTTTGCTTTAGATGCTTTTGGAAAATGTGAAATTCAATCAAAACATTACAAAAATGCTTGCTAGTTCATTTTGCTCCCAATTTGGCTCCCAATTTTTGTTCCTTTTTGGGCCTCTCCTGGAATTACAACTCTTATAGTTTTGGTTGGTGCTTCCTCCTCTAAAGAGAGAAATAATAGCTTCTGCATCTTCGTCAAAACATGATAAGTATTCTCTAAGTTTTCAAATAATCGTGAGACACGTCAATATGTTATCAACTTTCTCAGTCGCCATATACCCACCTCCTTATATACAGTGATGAACCATATGCTCTGTAATGATTTTTAGTGTAGGATGACTTCATGTCTAACAAGCAAACTTCTGCTTTTTTCTCTGTTCATAATATATAAATTTTAGGAGTGTAATCCCATTGTAAGCAATGAATAATCCAGCTCTCGCTTACATTAATAGTGCACAGTTATTTAAATAAACATGAAAATGCTACGTATTTTTATCCACCCTAGGGAGGTTCCTAGTGCGTACGCTATGGTACCCGTGAAACTTGCTTTGTGTTCTTAGCTGCAATACATATTTTTTTGCTGTTTTAAAGAATGACTACCCAAAATGCTTTCTTCAAGAAGGCACCATATCAGTTTCTTTAAGTGCACAGATCAGAAGCAGTTTCCTCGAGAATCTACCGCTGGTTGCCGTTGTTGAATAATGAGGCAAGACATGTTTTTCCCTCCCGCCCTGGTGACTTCAATTCTTGGTAGGCGGAAAGGGGATTGGGGTGGACCCCGAGGAGGAGGGTGATGGTATGGTGTATTTTATGAGTAGGTTGTGCGAGGGCTCAGAGTGGGTCGGAAAATTTACTGCCCCAGAATGCGCAGGACCAGGACAAGAGGGCGCCAGTGGCAGCCAAGCTGAAAGCCCAGGCGAATATGTTATTGCACGGAACTCGCTATCCTCTCTCCATTAGCACAATGACACCATATTATCTTCGGCGCTGCTCACTAAAAGCCCCCCATTCTCTCTGAAAAGGCCTGCGATCCTCCTTTTTCTGGCAAATAACTCTTCACTACTGTGCGCCCATGTGTGCTTTGACAGAAGCCCATGGTCGCTTCTGGCACTTTACTATTTCCCCACGCAAGTAAAAAAAGGATGACAGAAGAACTGGAGTGCAGAGGTTAGCAAAAATGGTAGATATACGGCAGAGGAAGATAAAATATGTGTGCAATTGAAATTAAAACAATAAATATACTCTCAGCAAATACTAGATGTAGTTTTTGGTCTCTGTTAGACTTGATCTATACAAATTGCACTAGGTCAACAGATACATAGATAGGTGATTACTCAAGAAAAAACTATTACAAAATGATTCACCAGGACGTGTGGTCCAAGAACGGACACCCACAATTCTCCTACATTACAAAAAATACTTTCCTCCAACTCGCGCAGCAGGTAGGAGGGCATGTAACTGAAAAATAACAAGTGTTTTGGAGAAGTTACATTCTGAGCGAATATTTGTTGATTTTGGACAGGAATCTGGCCACCCACCATCCACCATAACACTACAGGCAGCAATAAAGAATCGTCGCAATGTTTAAGATGTTTAAGATTCTGATGCCTGCTGCTGACCTTGAGCAATCTGTGTGCATTTACAGTTTCCCAAACTGTATGCGTTTTGGTTAATTTATAGAATTAAAGAAGAAAAAAATGTACTGCCTTTGGAGTTGGAAAAGGGAGAAAATGACGGATTCAGGAAGACTTCTAAGGACATGGAAGAGTGGACTTCTGGGTAGAACACCACAGGCGGCTCTCTGGGAACATGGCTAAGAGTCCGGTCTGGACAAGAAAGGATAAGATTGGATATAATAAGGAGGCTGGACGTTCTGCTTTCACTCCCCCCACTTTCCCACCAAGCTCCTTCTTTCCTTTTGATCACTCAACATGCACTCTTGAGCCCCCCATCATCCAAACCCCCACTAACAACCCACTCCAAGGGAATGGGCACCAAAGGCAGACGCGTCAGCTTCTCTGGCAGGGCATGCGAGGGAGATAATACTGGGCATGGACAAAGAAGGAATTCTGAATGATAAGCGGTGGGTTCTGGCAACATGGAAGAAGGGATATCATGGTCAGATAGCGGGTGGGTATTGGCAAGGGCAAGGCGGGCTCTAGACAGAGGAGGCAGTAGATTCATGGGACATAGTACAGCCTCTCTCTCTCTCTCTCTCTCTCTCTCTCTTTCTTTCTTTCTTTCTCTCTTTGACAGAGTCTTACTCTGTTGCCTGGGCTAGAGTACCGTGGTGTCAGCCTAGCTCACAGCAACCTCAAACTCCTGGGCTCAAGCGATCCTCCTGCCTCAGCCTCTCAAGTAGCTGGGACTACAGGCAAGTGCTACCGTGCTCGGCTAATTATTTTTTATATATTTTTAGTTGGCCGATTAATTTCTTTCTATTTTTAGTAGAAACGGGGTCTCGCTCTTGTTAGGACTGGTTTCGATCTCCTGACCTTGAGCAATCTTCCCTCCTCGGCCTCCCAGAGTGCTAGGATTACAGGCGTGGGCCACCACACCCGGCCGGGTGGTTGTTTCTAAAGGAATAAAATATTACAAATATTGTTGAGGCTCCTTCTGTGTGTCCTTCCCAGATCTCCTTTCCCTCCCCTTTTCTCTTCCTCCCCAGAAGTAGCCACTACACTGATTTTGTGTAAATCATCTCCTTGCAAGATTGTTACCATTAATACATATTAATATATACATTTCCCCCCAGGAAGAAATAGATATATATATATAAAATGCTACACATGTCCATCTGGAATTTGCTCTTCTAGCTCAACCCTATATTTTAGAGATTTATTCATGTTGATGCATTTAGCTCTGGCTCATGCACTTTAACTGCTGTGTCATACTCCTTCGTACAAATTTATGTGTGCATTTGCCTCTTGATGAATGTTCGCTGCTTCCAATTTTTCACAAAATGTTGCAATGAACATTCTTGTGCATGTATCCCATTCTGAAAACTTCTCTAGGGCAAAGGCTTTTAAACCTATCTGACTGCTTTCAAACTTATCTGATGCCACCCCCATCAGAAATGCATCTTACACTTGGACCCGGTGCAACACACACACACACACACACAAAGTGGAGCAAAAGTTTCACAAAACAATACTCTCACTATGCTTTCAGAAACACTTTTATAATTTCTATCATAATTCTCTTTATCAGGTTGCCATAGTTCCCCTCTGTTCCTGGTTTGCTGAGAGTTTTTAATCATGAATGGGTGTTGAATTTTGTCAATTCTATTTCTGTATATTTAAGATGATCAAAGGGTTTTTAAAAAAATTCTGTCAATAAGGTAAACTACAATAATTAACTTTCAGCATTGAACCAACCTTGCATTCCTAGGGTAAGCCCCACATGACGTTGGCCATACAATATTGCAATAAATGCCAAACTGCAAATTCTGAGGGCACAACCCGGCACAAGACACTGCCCTCACTTCAGATACCAGCTGCAAGTTTAGAGGTCTTCAGCACCATTCTCACTTTATACCAGCTGGCTGCAAATGTGGGGGTCCCAAAAGGCTCCCTGGGTTCTGATAACTCAGTAATATAATTCACAGAACTCAGGAAAGCATTACACTATATACACTTACAATACAGTGTTATTTTAGCAAAGGATACAAATTAGAACCAACCAAAAGAAGAAACCCATAGAACAAAGTCTCACAAGGTTCTAAGCATGAAGCTTCCATTGTCCTCAGGGACACATTACTCTCTGGGCATCAAAGTGTGACGATTCTCAAGGAGTACTGCTAACCAGGGAAGGTCACCCAAGCTTCAATGTCCAGAGTTTTTATTAAGGCTTCATTATGTAAGTATGACTGATTGAGTCACTGGCTATGTGGTTGAATTCAGTCTCTAATCTCCCTCTCTTCCCTGGAGAGACGTCTGATGTCATTTAGCTCCGAGTCCCTACCCTCTAATGACATGGCTGATCTTTCTGGTGTGGCCAGCCCCCATCCTGAGTCATCTCATTTAGCATGCACCATCTAGGGGCCCCATGAGTTACCTCATTAGCATAAACTATCAGGTGGGAGCTGATGGGTCCACCACAAATAACAATGACATCCTTGTTATTCCGAAAATCCCAAGGGTTTAGAGGTTATCTCCCAGGGACCCAGGACAAAGACAAACCAAATTCTTCATCATATAGATGTTGTTATGTTTTCTAACATTGCTGGATTTGATTTGCTAAGTT